ACATTAAGAGGTGAGCAACCGGGGCGGGCCAATCCGAGAGTTTGGTCCGGTTCTCCGTTCCGAACTGAAAACAGAAAAAAAAAAACAATAGTGAGATGTAATTAGAGAGAATGGAATCGCGATTTCCGACTTGAGGGTAGGTGCATAAGACCATTCAATTGACAAGATTTTGCCAGTTATAGACTAAAAAAATAGGATTAATATCACGAAAAACTTTAATTTTTTGGTCACCTAAAACCTAAACTGGTACACCCGTGACAAATTTATGCCAAATTAGTTTTTACATCACCAAAACTCCAAACTAGTACGCTCGTGACATATTTACCCTTTATTAACTTCCGTAACATTTTTCAGTGAAATTGCTAAGCTAGATAACACAACATGGCAAGTCCATGTGTTCGACCCAAAAAAAAAAGTCTGCGTGGAAAGCCATATCGGTTTTGGGTAAATTTGTCACGGGTGTACCACTTTGGGGTTTTTTCGTGATATTAATCGAAAAAATAATATAATATATCAATTACGTGATTTAAAAAAAACCGAGTTGTTAGATGGAATCGGGAATTGGCTTGGAATCGATCGGTTTCGGGCTAGTTCTAACTATAACCAATTCGGTTCTCAATTCCAATTTTTCAGAACCCAAACCAATAGAGTAGGTTCTAGGTTCCGGTCTCGGCACTGACCCACCCTAACATCGATTACCCCTGATTTCCACCAATATTTATTTCATAATAAGACCTTTCAATCGAGTGCCTTCATGAATCTTATTTAGTATACTAATTTTCAAAAATTTAATTGTTCCTGTCACGACATAATAGTGCAATTGAAGCCGCAATGAATGCCTCCTTGGTTCTCATTAAGCATACTTAAGTACTAATTAAATATCCGGATCACTAGAAATCATTTTCTTGTGAGTTTTTAGCATAAAGCACTAGCATACTAGTCATATATATATATATATATATATATATATATATATATATATATATATTTATTTATAAGTAATACTTGTAAGCTTTTATGATGTCATTATATAAGGTGCTTTTATTACAAGTATTTACCGACCAATGAAAAATTTAAAATCTACAAAAAGATGCCCATTGAATGAATAATTCATTATAGAATTATGGATTACTAGAAAAGCAAAATAAAATAATACGTATATATGTATTTCTACTGGTTTTGGATGACGGTAATACATGAAGTTCTTCTTAGAAATCTACATGAATTGTAGAATTCTTCATATTCAACTTTGTTGACACAAAAAATGTCCAAGACTTTTGACTGTCGACTCGGGCCGAGAAAGACCGAGCAAAATGCAATAAATATAAAACTCGCCAAGTGTTGAAGGCTTTTGATCAGTAAGAATAAATAGTCGACAAAGTGAGTGGCCTTAGCTGATAGAAGATGTAACGAGGGATGGCTAAGTCCTGGAGCATAAGTGTCGGTAAATGAAGTTCGGTTTAATCAACAAAAGCCACAATCACCGAAGTCTATGATAAGCAGTTGTCTAAATTTTGGAGCCGACAATCTCGGGTAGGATTCGCCAGGGCACATCGAAATGGCTGTGAAGAAGTGGAACTGATTCAATCATCCTGTGGTGGGTGCCAAGGATCTCGAAAGCCACTAATAGTAGGGGTGAGAAATGTGAGTTGTTGCAATCTAATGGAACGTGGGACTTCGAAAGTAACCAATGGTGCTGGGGGCGAAGAGTGGAGGGAGAATAACCTTCGAGTAGTGGGTGCTGATCACTCGTTTGTAAATACTAACTTGTTGAATTCTAGGAGTCGCGTAGGATGCTGTTATTTTTTCTTTTGTTAACTATCAGGAAAAGTTTAAATATTAGAATTGTAATTTGTGCAGAGAACCTCCGACGAATCAATGAACACCGGTTGCTCAATTTTACTTCCATTTTATCTTTGAATTCCACCGTCCTTTTATATGGCTGGACACAATTGTCTTTGGTTTTCGTACTTTTAATTTTCTCGTCAATTGTGTTTTATATCCGAGAATCAATAAAGGACCATTTACATCCTTTGTCGATTTTCATAGCGACCTGTAATTCGAAAGATTTTTCATCGGCACTTTTTTATAATATGAAAATGCATGAAAATCAGAATAATACATTTGTCTTCCACTTTTAATGAGATATATTTTCGGCAAAACAAACCAAGTAAATAAAATTGCCGAGAAATTATACTCCTAAATTTAGTTAAGAATTTTACCACGAGCAGTGAGTAACTGCATGCCCAACATCGTCATGCTAATTCATAGTTATCCATTGTATCTCATGTACGTCGCAAATTCAATACCTCGTATATGTCGCACATGCATGTATTCATTATATTGACCGGCAGGTGTTTGTAGTGGAAGGTGGACCTCTTTAGCTTGGGGATTTGTCACCGTTGAGTTTGATCATTTTCACGATAATTAAAGTAAATCACGCTGTGATAATCAACATTACTGGGTTTATTGGCTCTTTCACCAACTTCTTCAAGATGTATGTCTATAAGTTGTCTCTCTTCCTTAAAATCTATAGCACATAATGTGGAAGTCACTTTTGAGCATGTATTAGGTTTATTAATACTAGCAAATATATGTTGAAAATAGTATATCCTAATCAAGTTCACCATATACATATGAGAGGGGACTTTTGTGTGCCAATCTTCCTCCATCAATTGTGTGGCTTGCGGAAGGGCCAGATCTCTGCCCAATTTGATGAGGCTGGATAGATCGCCAAGGCGAGAGGGTTCAAAGGACAAGGTGCAGTTCATGACAGGATTTAGAATGCGAAAGAGGCAGGAATAGATCGGACGACACATTAACTAGGGGGAGTATCGCTTCATGATATGGGTCAACACTAACAAGGATGTTAGTTCTTTACGTGGGAGAGTTTGTGATATTTTAAGTTCCACATCGGTTTAAAGATACATTATTTAGTGATTCATAATCTGCGCCCGAAATGGTCACCACCTGATGTGGTTATTTTGAATACTCTTTTCAGAGGGCTGTGTTAAGATGTACATATTGAAAAGTTTCATATTAGAGAATTGGTGCGTGATTAATTAGTTGAAATATCATAGTCCGCTCATAACTCATGTTTTAAGCTTCTAAGTGAAGCTGAGTCCAACTAGGTATGTTGATGGACTCGGACTTAAGCTTCCTCTTAGTGATCTCCACAGCTGAAAGAGTTTCGAGTTTCTGTTGAGCATCTCCTCAATAAATGGTATTAGAGCTAATGGTGAATTGATGGTCCACTCCTAATGTTTATCGATGTTTGGTGAATATCTAAAAGAAGGAATCTCGTGACCAAAGTGATTTCCGGGCAACCTTAATGGTTAGGTCTGGAGAAAGAGACCTGGGGTGAAGGTGGGTATTATAAGCAACGTGGTTCCAATTATAGCCTTTATGGTTTGGCTTGGAGAATGAGACCATGGATGAAGGTGGGCACTATGGTTGTTGCAATTCTTACAAGACAACAAAATGGAAACTCAAGTTGAGATATATTGATGCAAAATGACACTTGAATAAAGGGGTAGCAGACCTAACACTAAACTCTCACGTGAGAGGGAGATTATTGAAATGTACGTGTGAATTTTTTTTGATAAAAAAAATGTACGTGAGTTGTGTTAGAAAAGAATGTGCACATATGAAACTCAACCAAAAGCTTTTAGATGCGAGAGATTCACCTTCTTTCATATCCATTCTTCTTCTGGTAGCTTGAAATCATGTGGAATTGAAGGTTCTCTATTGATCAGGTATGCTGCTTTATTAACTGCATCCACCTAAGACGTCTTGGATAATCCTGCGTGCATTTTCATACTTCATGCATGCTCGTTCAATGTTCCGTTCATCCTTTCAACAACTTTGTTTTACTATGTCTTTTAGGAAATATTATTGTTATCCCATTTCATTATCTATACAAAACTCATTGCTATCAAACTCACCACCACTTGATTGAGCTTTTGAATGAAAGTAGGTTCAATTGGATGGGCTTGAACGTGAGCTCCTTCTTAGTGATCTCCTCAGGTGAAATTATCGGGTTTTCATTGCATGTTCCCAATAGATGGTATCAGAATAGATGGTTGATTAGTGGATCATATCTTAAGGAAAGCATCTTGTGATCAACGTGATTTCTAGAGAGCCTTCACGGTTCGATCTTGCGAAAAAGACCTGGGTGAAGGTACGTGTTAAGGTGCAGCAACGCAGTCCGAGTTGCTTCGGTCTGGAAAAAGAGACCATAAATAAAGGTGGACGTTGTTGTTGTTGTTGCGGTCCTGACAAGGAAACAAAGTGGAGATCCAAGTTGAGACACGTAGGTGCAGAAGGATACTCCCGGACTTAGCTCTATCTTGGCAATTTTCCCGGATAAAGGTGTCGGGGTTTCTGCTGTGCATCTCCCCAATAGTTTGGCCCCCCATGAAATGGATCAGATTGCTGAATTAACTTTATGCGGTTACTTGTGCGTGTGTCACCTAATATTACTCCATCTCATTTGGTTGACTGAATTTGCTGTGCATACTGAACTCGGACAGAGCCCCACCTCTCAAATAGAGAGTAAATGAACTTCTTCCGTTTTAGCAGGCAAACATGGCAAGAACAAGTGAAAACTCAAAACGGTGAAGCTCAACTAGAGAAGTCGAGCTCAACTAGCCTAGCCGAGCCGAGCCATCGGGCCATGTGGCCGGCGCCTAAAAACTAGAAAAGGAGGCCAATTGAATGAAAGTGTTAAGGGGCGTTGCCGTCTCCCACTCAACCACTCTCGGACCCCCCCACTCCCTTCCTTCCTCCAATTCCTCTCTTCTCAACCGTCCTTGTTCACACGTCAATAAAAAATAATGTATCTACAAAACCAATCTCATTCAAATGCCCCTTTGCCTTTCTCACTCTCTCCTCATCAACCACACGCTTTGAATAATGAACTTCATTTTTTTATCTTGCTAGACTTGCATATATACCTCATAATCTCAACACCACCCAACGGCATTCTCCCCTTTTAAAACCCCCCCACAACTCCCTCTCTGTCTTCCCTCCATATACCCCCACACCATTCAATTGTGTACTCTCTCTCTCTCTAAGCACACATTGAGAGATAGTAGTTGTGGGAGAGAGATTTTTCAGAATGGTGATGGGGGCTCATTGGGACCGGCGATTCGAGCCGGTCGCGAAATGTGGCTCCGAGGGGCGGTCGAGCCAGGCGGTCGCTTCCGACCTGGACGGCACGCTGCTCATGTCGCCGAGCGCCTTCCCGTACTACATGCTCGTGGCTCTCGAGGCCGGGAGCCTCGCGAGGGCGCTTGTCCTCCTGCTGTCCGTCCCACTCGTGTACCTCACCTACATTTTCGTCTCCGAGACGCTGGCGATAAAGACCCTGATTTTCATCTCGATGGCCGGGTTGAAAGTCCGGGACGTCGAGTTCGTGTCCCGGTCGGTGCTGCCCAAGTTCTACGCGGACGACGTCCACCCCGAGGCTTGGAGGGTGTTCAATTCCTTCGGGAAACGGTATATCGTCACGGCGAGCCCTAGGGTCATGGTGGAACATTTCGCGAAGACATTCCTAGGGGCCGATAAGGTTCTAGGGACAGAACTAGAAGTCTCCAAATCGGGTCGCACCACCGGGTTTGTCAAGAAACCCGGGGTTCTCATCGGTGAACACAAGCGAGAAGCTGTTCTGAAGGAGTTTGGCATGAACGTGCCCGATTTAGGCCTCGGAGATAGCAAGAGTGACCATGAGTTCATGTCCATTTGCAAGGTTTGTCCAAACCCCCCACCTTCCACTCTCACGCACATCTTTATCATTTCCATTAGTAGATGATTGAAGAGGTTGAGGGTTGAAGCTTTTGAGCTGTTCCTTAACCAGTTTAGGGGGGTACAATTGCATTTACGTTCTCCTTTCCATTCATTGCGCGTTTGGTGAGTGCGTGTACAGTGTCTTTAGCGCCATTTCGTGCTCGTGTTTCTCTCTCTCTTCCTTGCATGCATGCACAATAAATTGCAATCCGGAAAGATAAGCTCCAACCTTTTATTTACCTATTATTTACCTTTCATTTGTGAAACTAAATCACATGCTCTTCATGCACAATAGACTGCATCACGAAAAGCGTATGATACATAAAGTATGGAAGAAGATGTAGAGAATATGATGATTTTGTCCAACTCTTTTGCCACTTTGACTCCATGCCAATGGAAGATGTTCATCGACTCCTTAGCCGCAGCAAATTAGTACAATCGGCGGGGAAGTTTGTACTTATTTCTTTAGCCAAAGAGACTCACTATATGATTAAAATGGTGAACATAAAAATCTTATTATGATGGCACGTTTTTCTCCCTCCTGCTCGAAACTTGGACATGTCCTCTTATCGATGGGTTATAAGCATTAACATCACCCATGTTTAATAGGGCTGAGGAGAAGACGTTCTCTAATTAGGGACGCGAGAAGTTTCTTCCAATCAAGAATAAAGAGATACACAACCCCAATTATAGAACGGATTTAAGTAATAATAATTTATTTTAAACATGGTAAAGCTCGGTCAATTTCAAATAAGAAAGTCACGGAAAAAAAGTACTTTACAAGGGCAGAGTTTCTAAGAAGATTTTCTTTATTTTACAACATAAGCGTGGCTTACATTCAATGTTATTTTTCAATTTATTGTTTGCTCAATCTACTCAATATGGCTGCAGCTATAAATGCTTTGCACCAAGAGAGGCAAATAAAGTTGCTAGGATTTATGACTTTCATTTTTCACCGAAAGCATTCCAGCAATAGTCGTTCCGTAGACGCGGTCCATTGATACTACTTCCGTACTACGTGCGGCCTCAACTTAATAACTGCTTCATGATTATAAAGTCCACCATGATGTTAGTAAATAAATATGTAATATCTCAATTTTCTTCTGTGTCTAGGATCAAGTTATTGCAACATAATATTACGGTACGATAATCTCATAACATCTTTGTAATGATAATTTGCATGCACAACAGGAAGCATACATGGTGCCAAGAACCAAGTGCGACCCACTACCACGGACCAAGCTCTTGAGCCCCGTCATCTTCCACGACGGCCGCCTCGTCCAACGACCGACGCCGATGATCGCCCTCCTCACCTTCTTGTGGCTTCCAATCGGCGTCCTCCTCGCCATCCTCCGCGTCTACACCAACATCCCCTTGCCCGAGCGCATTGCCCGCTACAACTACTGCCTCCTCGGCATCAAGCTCGTAGTCAAGGGCACTCCGCCCCTGGCCCCCAAGCCGGGCCACCCTGGTGTCCTCTTCATCTGCAACCACCGCACAGTCCTCGACCCTGTCGTCACAGCTGTCGCCCTCGGCCGCAAGATCAGCTGCGTCACCTACAGCATCAGCAAGTTCACCGAGATCATCTCCCCAATCAAGGCCGTCGCGCTCTCCCGCGAGCGCGACAAGGACGCCGAGAACATCCGGCGCCTCCTCGAGGAGGGCGACCTCATCATCTGCCCCGAGGGGACCACGTGCCGCGAGCCCTTCCTGCTCCGCTTCAGCGCGCTCTTCGCTGAGCTCACTGACCGGATCGTCCCCATCGCGATCAACACGAAGCAGACCGTGTTCCACGGGACCACCGTGAGGGGGCACAAGTTCTTCGACCCATACTTCGTGTTCATGAACCCGATGCCGACTTACGAGATCACGTTCCTGAACCAACTGCCACAGGAACTGACGTGCAAGGGCGGAAAGTCGGCAATCGAGGTGGCGAACTATATACAGAGGGTCTTGGCGGGGACGTTAGGGTACGAGTGCACCAACTTCACCAGGAAGGACAAGTACGCCATGCTCGCCGGGACTGACGGCCGTGTCCCATCGAAGGAGAAAAAGATGGAAAAGGAGGAGAAGCAGCCGGGCAAGTGATGAGCAAATTTGAAGATGGATTAGGGATCAAGAAATCCCATGATTTGCACCTCATTTTCTCCATGTGTTTGGACGATTAAAGTTCATGGAAAAGGCAAATAATGGTAATTGTAGTGATCATTTCACAGTTGTCATAAGAGTCACTCCACGCTCGTGTATATTACTTCACCTATTTTATACCAAGGTCCTTTTAATTATATGCCTATTATTGGGGAGAAGAATACTCTACGTATCGATTTTATGGTTGACATGGAACATCGGACCAACTTAACTGTCCGCTTTCCTGTATCCCAACTAATTATGTCCGTTTGAATATTTTAACCTCCAACGGCACAACACTAATGTCCATTTGGAATGAGAACGAAGCTGAAAATCTTTCATAATTCCTTGATTTTAAGCCTAATTAGAACACGAGTTACACAACCAATGAAAAAAACGATAAGGGCATATTCAATATGAAGTAATAAGTTGGATAGAAAATTATAAGACAGATTTATTTTTATTTTTATTTTTTTAATGTTTTCTTATTTTTAGGAAAGACATTACTTGTGCCTTGACTAGTGGCTCCACCAACCAAGATCAACTTTTGTGATTGCTCTTGCACGGCATTGACTAACCATTTTTATTTTTTCGTCGAATGACTAACCATTTATTTGGTGGGAAGTGAGTTTAGCTTTTTTTTTTTGCTAAATCGGGAAGTGAGTTAGCTAAGGTGCGGTATATGTGCACACACTGTCTGACAAACATCTCGGTCAAATTGAACGCGGACCTCATCATAAACTTTTATTTTCTCTTTAACCTTAACGAGTCCCTTTTTCTTGCTAGAAACTGGGTGCGCTTGGGAGCTGCTTTGCCAACCCTAAAGCTTCTTAGGTGAACGTAAATACTGTTTGGCAAATTTTTTGGAGAATTTTGGGAAGATGCAATTATATTTTTAAAGACCTTTTGGCCAAGACAAGTCCGAAGGTACTTTGAGCATTTCCAAAATGCAAATGCTTTTTTTTCTTCTAATTTTGCCCTCACTCAACTTTCATGATCTCGGAAATCTCCCTATCTCACGCGACGTCACTGGCGGGCCGCCAGCGAGACCAAAACTGGCTGTTGGCAAGCTAGTCCAGCCTGGCCTGAGGTCACGCAACCCCAGGCAACAGTTGCCTGAGGTTGTGCGACCTTAGGCTTGGCTGGCTGGCAGTTGATTTGGCTCACTAGTGACTGAGTTCCGTTGACAAATAGTTTGAGAATTTTAAAAACATAAACTAGCAAAAGTCCTTTACAAAATTTAGTTTTTTCAAACGACATTTAAGTCAAAGTTGGTTTCCGATGTGTTTTTAAAATACACTTTACCAAACATTATTTGCATTTTGAAAAAAGTCTTTCACCTAAAGTCTTTGACATTTTCAAAGGCTTTTCTCCCAAAATGTTTCCAAACGCACCATTAATACATAGAAAGTAACGCTAGATTATGTAAATATGTTAAATTGCTCCAATAATCTAACTGCCTACAAGTTTTAGAACAGGTGGCAGTGGTACAAATATTTTGACATGGCATCGGAGTAGAGGGCCCAGAGTTTAAATTTTTCTAGACCCCTAATTTACCTCTTCCTCTATATTTCCACGCTTTAATCTTATGCCAAAGCCTAGCCTATGGGCAAGAGAAAGACTGTTTAAATCATGTCATGTATTTATTTAATAATTTAAACTCTTAGGACAGTGGATAGCGATTTCAAAACTTCGACACGTGCAAGCACATGCAACTCCACAATTGGAATTAAGCAATGTGTGCCCAGCTTCTACATTTCTTGAAATCACGGGCAAGCAACTTTGTCTTCTTGTGGATCATTTTCATTTCCACTTTTAATGGCAAATTGGGTTACAATGTGGTCCTGTTCCGATCCAGGACAAATGGATCATCACCAGCTCAGATCTTGGATCTAGCATTGAACGAACATAACGAAGGGCCTCCAATTTTCTCTAGTCAGCACATGGAGTGATGATGAATTGACCCTAAAGGCAAACCCCTTACAGTTAATTCAATCTCTTGTGCACCAGGCTTGTAGATGCACATAATCAATCAGTCATTGGACCAACCATAGGAACAAAGGGGGTGAGGATAACCAGCAATGCTAATATACTTAATTTATTAGAAGACATAATTTGTTAAAGGATTTTTTTTTTGTGGCCGTTTACGCCTCGGTCATTTGGGAGTTTTTAAGCTGTTGATAAGCCGAGTCGAGTTGGGTTTTACGCAAGAAAGTTCAAGTGTATTTGAGGCATATTTTTAAATGTTAGGTCAGTAAGTTTGGATTGGTAAATAGGTTAAGGGAAATTGTGACAAGGAATGTGGGGAAATTCGATTTGTAAAAAAATGAAAAATAAATATACAGATATCCCAAAATTCTACACAGATTTGAAAATTTATTTAAAATAGAAAAGGAAATGATATCTTGGACATCCTTCTCATCTGCCATAAGGGTCACAAAATCAAATGCAACTCCCCCACATCGTTAACTCTCGAAGTGGACATGTTTGTATTTTATAACGTAGAATTCTTCTCGGCTTTTATTTTTGGACAGTGAATGATGCTTGAATATTTCTAGTGATTGCCAGTCTGCCAAAGCTTTTATTGAAGCTACATCCAGCAAAAAGTACTCTGGAAATATGCAGAGCCTTGTGATCCTGGGTGTGGACCAATCGTGAGTGTTTAAATGAGTAGGTGAGATGTACGTTTCAATTTGTGACCCATTTTCACGGCCCGCCCTTACTCGTTTCCTTTTATGAATGAAAAGGACGAGAATGGGCGATTAGCACCGGCAACATCCTATGGACATTATTATAAGGATCTCATCCTCCTACAAAATGTTCGATATGAGTCGTCATTACTCCGCATCACCTCCCATGATCCAAGATTCGCTAATCCGTCACCGCAACCCCACTAAAATATTGGTAGTTGGGAAATTTCTCTACACGAGACACGCAACAGCTAAATATTGCAACACCAGCTGCTCAGAGATTTGTTATGTCGATGAAGGACAGGTCATCTCTCCCTTTATTGTGGCGGTGATCCACCATAACCCCTATTGCTAGGAGAAGTCTCTGTTTTTCCTTCTTTTTTCTTTCCCTTTCTCTGGTTGAGCCCATGAGATTGGTGGATCCAAAGTCGTCTCATGAGTCACAAGAAGCATTTAAGTGCGTGCAATTCAGATGAGCGGGCCTTTTGCCTCTGTTAATTCCTTCTGCACATCTGCAGACGTTCTAGATGCCGCTGTCGCTCAAACTTTTTCTACTTCTTCATCCCCGTTGACATTCAAAAGGAGCCGTCACGGCGAGTTTTCCTTGAGAAAAATAGTGAAGTGACTAACTAAAAAAAACTACTGTTATAATCATTATCCAATCGATGTTTTGAAAATTGAAAATTCTCTTACATTATGCTTAAAAATTCGCTGGAAAACACTCAATAACTGGATCCACAAGAACTTGATAATTCATTCCGTTTGTCGAGACTATTCTAAGTGGAGAAGAAGTTGCGATCAAACACAGGTTTGCCACTTTGGAGTCTAAACTGTTTTCTCATAAGGTTAAGTTCTTGGGACAAAGGACCAACAATGTATATATAGAATATTACTTAACACTCTACCTTGCTCGTAAGCCGGTCCATTACGCGCAATGTACAATACATCAACGATATGGTCCGGTGACTGTCTTATCTGAATTAGATTTTTTTTTTTCGTAGATACTAATCCATTGAAAAATTCTATTGATTACTTCTTGCCCTGTTTCTTATCGTGTACACATGATCTACTTGGTGATGATTTGACGTTCTTTTGTGAGTTAATGTATAAGAGAGTGACAAATCCGGCGACTATCTTAAACGGAAAGAATATCGCTAGAGATGCTAAAATCCAAATACCAAATGAGTTACTATATAACGTGTCAAACAATAATCTGACACATCATTTAGTAAATACATTTAGTATATGAGTTTTAATATTTCTAGCATTACTCAATGTCCAGATCATTATATTTTAATATGTGGACCTTTCGGAAGATGGCGTACTTGTGGAAAAGGGACGCAACTCAATGAATTACTAATAACGAGTTTCTTTTTTTCAAAGAATATCGAGGATAATTCTGAATCCAATTCAATTGCAGAGATAATTTTTTTATAGGAAAGTACAATTATTGTTATTTTCCCCTTTTCTTTATTGCAATACTGGATTTTTTTAGTGGTACATATTCCAAATAAACGAATTTTATTATATCTATATTACATTTAATCACTGATTTCTTCATAACACGAAAGATGGTCAAGAATGCCACAGAACGATGTGCGCCTTATCGAATTAAAAGTATGCCGGCTTTTGGAACTCTGTATCATTAGTTAAAATTCAAGCAACTAAAGTAAAGAAGGTAGCGCATGTATTATAAGGCCCTTCTGTAATTATGTTTCTATCTGTATCATTATTGTAATTAATCACTCATATAAATACATATCATACCTAATTCGGGTGGAATCACCATAAACACTTTATCGTTATCTTCTCTCCGACTCTAGACATACACACTTTGGTCCTAAGTAATTCATCCAAAGTTCGGTGAAGACCTTGTTTGACACAAATCAAGAGATGCCTTGATCTATTTAACAAGTCTAGCACTTAAACAAATTTGGCGATGGATCGATAAATGTTTGCTAAAGCTCAATGAAATCCAATTGGGTCAATCGTTGATGGGCTGCACATTACAAATTGGGCTTCCGGGCACTCATTTGGAGCAATCTTTCAGGACTATGTGAGCCTTATCTTTGAGCCATCTTGTACAAGATTTGGGCTAAAATGTCAAACACCACCTCCGCATATTCGTAAGCTTCATTGGCTGGTTAGCTGCATTAGCTGGTTTAGCTTTTAGGGTTGCTTACTAGCTAGAAACAAGAAAGTTGCAAGAGATGGAACGATTTAGGCTTAGTTCTGTCGATGTTGGAAGTAATCCTCTTTCCTCGCAACTGCTGGAGGTGTTAAAAATGGAAACTATGATGAAAGTGTTACGTAAAAGACTTGTTCTTCCAAGTGTTTACGTGGGAAGAAACCATCATTTTCCAGCAAAAAGATGAAGTTGCGCATCCTTACCTACATCCTCGATCGGAATTTATACCTGGATATTGATCTTGACGTGGTGGGAAAAATCGACGATTTTCTTGCCTCTT